CGTGTGCTCTTCCGGTCTTTTCCGTCTATTGAAAGGTATGCCAAAAAGGGAGATGTGTACTATTACGATTTGGATTAGATTACTTTTGTATAATATTTATTTAATTAAAACTTAATAACCGCTAATCGATTATTAATGATTTGTTACGTTATGAAAAAAAAAGATACAGAAGATAGACTTTTACACAAAAATTTTGATTTTTAGAAGCAAATATTTGCGGGATAAACGTGTACTGTTTACATCCTGGTATTATTGGGACCCAAATAAATCAGCATCTAGATAATATATTTCTAGGTGGAACTTTTCTTCATAGTTTGTATGCAAACTTATTTGGTAAAAATGTTATACAAGGAGCACAAACAACAATATATTGTGCAGTAGCTGAAGAAATAGCCAATGATACTGGACTTTATTATTCGTAAGGACATACATATATTATTTACTATGCGAAATTATTTTTATGCAGAATATGATGCAGTTCTGCATTTCCATCTTTTATCTTTTTTCTCTGTATAGAAACTGCAGTGTCGCTACTACATATCGGAAGGCAAACGATCCCCAAATTGCCGAAAAATTGTGGAATTTATCGTGTCAACTTTTGCATTTGGAACCAGAAGAAAATTTCACCACATTTTTGGAAACTGTTTCACGTCAAATGCTTTAAAAAGATTTCTTTTTTTATCGATGAATTATCGTAGAAATTTTGAATACATATGGTTTATATTTTTATATGTTTTCTTTTATAATATATATGTGGTCATGTATTTTCAATGTTTACAAGCAATATGTCTAACAAAAGAATTACGTAAAGTACAATGTCAAGTTATTTGCATGAATAATGCGGTCTTGTTATCAAAAAATTTTATTTACAATATTAGATCTATAAATTGGCTTTAAATTTTTCATGGTTTTAATGATTCCTATTGAAGAGAATTTTAATCCTATAATGGCTTTAATTATAACGTTATTATGAAAAGCCTTTAAATCTTTTTCTTGCGCGACTTTGTTTGTTTAATCTTTGTCATAAAAGCAAAATGGAATATCAAAAAAGCGATGTAAAATTCAATCTAAGATTGTCATCAACAGGTATTAGTTAACGCAAAAAAGGCGCAAAAAAGGTATGAAAACAAGACATTTATTGATGATAAACTTTATTGATGATACCGATAAACAATGTTTAACAGTATTTTATTATGGATAATAAATAATTATTATCGCACTACCTACGATTATTCAATCGCGTATTGAAACATCGAGGTTGTCACAAGTCAAAGAGTTAGGGAACGTAAATTCTAACTGAAATGAAAATTGAAAAGAAATATAATCGAATATAAAATCTTATAAACCGTCAACTGAACAAACAGATTTTGCGTCACCAAAATTAAAATGTCAGCTATCAATAATCGGAATATCAGCGATATTTTTCGCGTTTCCTTATTTCGGGGCCAATTGTAGTAATCACTGCTTTATTGAGCATTTCAGAGAAAAATAGTATTCAGCCTATTCAGGATTTTTTGACTCAATTTTTTTATAAGGAGTAGCACTGTATGATTAGTGAGCGAAATTTAAGAACTATTTTTGTCTACAATGCTTAATAAAGCAGTAATTACTATAGTAGTTATTTGCACGTATAATGTGATCTTGTTTAAAAATTTTATTTACAACATTGAATAAATAAAACACTCCATATAAATACATTTTATTTTTTATGGTTTTAATAATGATTGTTGTTGACAAAATTGTTTAATCCTATAATTAAATAATCTTTTTAATGAAAGCCCTTAAATCTTCTTTTTTTTATTTTTATTTATAACACGACTTTGTTTAATCCTTATCGCGAAAGCAAAATGAAATATCAAAAGAGCGATGTGAAATTCAATCAGAGACTTTCATTGCTAAATATTAGTTAACGCGAGAAAAGGCTATCTATAGTCTTGAGCTCGTTCTATAGTGTCATATATCGGAGTCGCGGATGATCATTAGTCGATTTCGTGATTCAAATATATAGATTAAGATTGCTCTTATGTTAGTTCTTATATTAAAGAAAGATATTTTATTACGTTTCGACGTATTGTATTCTTTTTCTAATGGAGCACAGACGCTAAATATCAGAAGATAGCGAATGAACAGTCCATACATATTGTGTCTATAATTTTTATACCAACTAGCACTATAGGCGCGCGCTTCGCGCGAGCTATTTAATACTTCTTGCTATAATTTACAATTACACATCAATCTCAACACACACAGTTCAAAATGCAATTACACGAAGTAAGTGCAGCGAAACAACCAATCGGCATCGCGGAAAAGCAACAACAATAAACTTCGAGAAGTGCGAATAATCGACTTTTTATGCACTTTTTTTAGGAGGAAGAGGATAGTTCACTTACGATGACTTTATTGCATCGAACAGCGTGCATTCAGATTGTTCGGACGTGCATGCGTTATGACTTGACCTGTACTCGATAATATGACGTTGCAGAATAGATTTAGCAATAAGACTCCACTTATTTATATACTTCATCTCATACTTCTATCGTTCTACTCTTTATTTATTCAACTAATAAAATTAAAAGCTGATATTAATTTTTGATGTGTGATAGGATCACATTAAATAACAAACGTTTTTTAAATATTCAATACTGCTGAAGTATCAACGACTATATATTTTAATAATAAAAATGACATGATTTGAAATCTAGTATACTAAATGATTCAATTGTAATTCTATTTTAAAGAATATTCTCTGATTAGTTTAACATAATTAAATTCAGATTTAAATCACAATTAAAATTACAATTTTCATATTATTTATTCAAAAGTTCAAGTTACAGAATTAGAAAATTAGAACTTATAAATATTCAATATTAGATATTCGCTGAAATATTAGTGATTATCTTATTAAGAAGGATAACGTCCAAAATTGTCAATTGGGTTTCCGACTGTGAGCACCTAAATAAATCTACGAGATATAGTAGCGTTGTATTATATTATAAACATCGATCTCGCGATCTCGCGTATTCGCTGGTGTTGCTTTCCAGTCCCGGCCTCGGTGCAGGTTTATGCATCGTTCGTTGCATCAAATATTTGTTCTCGCGTTGCTGCTGGTACCACGGTGGTATTTGCCTGGAAAGGATGCACCTTTTGGTTCCCGTCGACCTGGTGAGCTCCATTACATGCCCGAAGTAATACCAAAGAGAGGTGGCTGGGCCGGTGTTGTGTGTTGCGTCTAGTTTCGCCGTTTGCCGAAGCGGCATCCGCTGGCGGTTGCACGAAAGTGCAGCGTGTGTTAGTCAGTTTAAGGGAGTTTGCGTGTTGTTCGCGCGCACAACTGCCAGCTAGCTCTAAGTTCCTCGTAATTTCGCGAAACTCCCGCGCAAAAATTGCCGGCGACGCGAGCTGTCGACCTTCGCAACGTGTACGCAACGAATTTTTCACGGTAACGGCAAATTACATGCTTCCCTCATTTTTTTTACGGCAGTCGGAAGTTTTTTATTATCAAAAGTGTTACGTTCGCATTGCGTGAGAAAAAAAATGTATCTTATCCTGTGTACTTTCTTCTTTTAAACGCCATCTCTCAAAATTAAATCAATTTCTAAAGAGCGTTAAATTACATACACAAATTATTCACACGGCTCAAAATTATTATTATTATTATCATTATTATTTGTATCACATTTCTCTTGGTTCATCTGTCGTAAGCACGCTTGAAATAGCTTAAAATAAGAATGAAGAGGATCGTGCGGTCAAAATATTTCGGGGGCACGCTATCGTTCGCGATCACATCGCGGACACGTTCGAAAGGGTTCACGGGGCCGTGAAAACCGCCCCGTGGGGAAGAGTCGAGAGAAAAGAAGAGGGTGAGACCGCGCACGTATAGGTGCACGGATGCATTACATGCTCGAAGTGATAGCTAAGGGCGGCGTGGATGCTCGGTTCTTTAGTTTCCTCCGCGCACGCAACACCACCCGCCGCCGTTGCTCCTTCGCATTATACGTATCGCGCTCCAAAAGTTTCCGCTTTTTCTACCAACCACCGGCGCAGTGTCCTGGCTTATCTGCCGAAGTGCACCTTCACGTGGAGAACGCAAGCGTGGTAATTCAACACGGTTCCCGTTACACAACGGACTGGCATTTATCGTAAACTGTGAGACATCAAATTTGGAATGCGATAAAGATAGAAAGTTTTGCTCGATCGTGACGTTATCTCTTGATGCACGATGGAATGTCAAACGCATAATTGAATAAGTAATCTAAATGTGCGATGAATATTTCATTTACGTACAATTTTTTATAAGGATTAATATTGAGAAAAACTGACAAAAAGCTTTTATTCCTGCCAGAAATGTAATTTATTTTCATTCAGGAAGCGAACTGTTTCTATCTTGCTTTTATGATAAACCAAGAGGAGAATGTTCAAGTTCGAAAGCGTGCGATTTAAATATTTAAGTTTCTTTAAAAATTTACGGCGTAGCTAAAGAGATATAAGATATCTAAAAATAAGACAAAATTTCTTTTCTCATGAAATGTTTGATAATAGAAAAATTAAAAATTCATTGTACTTCGCAAAAGGAAGAAATTTTATTTAGCGATTTAGGGATTTCAAAAATATTACATAAGTTTGTACTAAAATCAAAATTTTAAGAATTTTCATTTATACTGTCAAAGTCTGCTACATTTGCCGTTTTCTTATGGTTAACAACCATAATAAAATGGCAAATGCAGTAGACAAAGAATGAAATTATGAACCAGAAGAAGAAGAAGAAGAAGAAGACGAAGAGGTAATAACCATCTTTCTTGACTGTATAAATAAATGAAAGACGCTTAATGCGAATAGAATATGCAATAAAATAACTGAGAAAGTAGGTATATCAGATTTTGCCAAAGATCCTTTAAGACGAGCTCTTAGCGTAACACAATGCGACGATCGTGAAAATTTTGCGCGAAACTGTTATAACTTTCAGCGCGCGCCTGACTATATAGCAAAGTAGTTCTAACGTAGTTGATTCCAGCGTGCCCCTGCACAGTCCAACTTGCAGTCTCCACTTTAACTGTTTAACTGCAATTTATTATTGCGATTCCGGCCATCCATCCGGCTGGCAGAAGTACTTCGGCATTTACGGTGGCTCACGGATGCTTCCTTAACTCGATTTGACGCGGCGCTCTCGGGGCGCACGGCGCCCGTGAATGCGATCGCGCGAGTGCGCTATCAAAATAACGAACCTATCCCGCATCTTCGAGTGCATCAATCGCGCCCGAATGCATCTGAAGTGGCAGCGGCGGATCCGCCGCACTTCATGCATGCGTGAGCATCAGCCCGGCTCACCTGCCCCCATTGACGACGGGCACCCCTCTCGAACCCCCTTTGCGCCCCCTCGGCCGCGGGTAGACCACCGAAAACTTTAATTCGGTCGATCTCGTGCCTCGGCCGTATAGCTATATCGCGATTGCGGTTGGAACGATCGATGCCTGATCCTCAAAAGGATCTTTGAGAAATCCCCGAGTGCCGTTGCAACAAACGTGCGCGATCTTTTGTGTGATTAGAGAAGCTATTTTAAGAGAAGCGTAAAAATGAACAAAAACGACGTTTTACAATTTAAAGGGTGAGATTTATAAACGTTATATAATTTATATATTAATAGCATACATTTATAGAAAAGATTAGAATTGATAAGATATATTTGAGAGGAACATATTTGACATATTTAAGAGGAACTAAGGCAACTTGGGAAAAATAAAATTAATTAATATAGTCCGATTAAATCTGTCTTTTCTAATTTCGGGATTGTAATTTTATAAAATTATACAACTTGAATTCATGAATTCATTTGTTATTATGTAACATTAAATTTTTAATTCTCGAATGTATTATTTCCGTATTGAAATATGTGTCGTCTTAGTTTCCTTTGATTTTTTAAAAGATTTAATAACTTCTTATAAGTGATTTCTTTAGCTATTTAAACATTTTAAATGTGTCGTATTTTCGAACTATTTAAATATTTTCGACATGTCAATTTAAAAATATTTTGTTTCTGACTTCACATTAGTTTACCATTCCAGAAATATAATAACATTAAAAAAAGTAATCTTGCAATTACGTATAGCAAAAATTATTTAAGTATGAAAAATAGCTAAAACGAATAAGTGATTAGTAAGCACTGCGATACCATATATGTTTTGTATTTAATCAATATACTTACAAGGAAAGGGACCCCAAGTGTCCCCCTCTGATTTTGATGAGCATTTTAATATGTTATTCTCTGGACAAAAACCAAGAATTAAGGTACCGCATATTTGTGCTCTTACGCA